ATTTTAAGATAATTAATATGTATTTGATGAATAAAAAATAAATTTTATTTGTAAATATTATAAATTTATTAAATTTAATACAAATAAAAACATTAATGTAATATATTTATTATTATAGACATCAGCAACAAGAGGCATGTTGCTGAAAATATGGTTTCAGCAACATGACTTTGGTTGCAGAAAATGGACCGGGAATGGGGAGGAATTCAATCATTTTTTTACCAAGGTGGAGCATGTTGGTGAAAGTACACAATCAACAACAAATAATATGTTGCTGAAAAGTGCAAACCACTCTCTCCCTTAACTTTTACCAAGATAAGCCACGTTGCTGAAACCCTATTTTCAGCAACGTGACTTTGCTTGCTGAAAATGGACCAGAAGTGTGTGGGGGAATCCACCATTTTTTTTTACCAATGTGGAACATGTTGGTGAAAGTATGCAATCAGCAACAAGGAATATGTTGCTGAAGATAGGGCTTCAGCAACATGGCCTTTCTTGCTAAAAATTTGCTGAAAATTTGATAAAATTCCGGTGGGGATTCAAGCAAGATTTCTTCAAGTTTTTAGCAACATGAGCCACGTTGCTGAAACTCAATCTTTAGCGACGTGGCCTATGTTGCTGAAAGGGGTGAGAAATTTCACCCCCACCGGTCACCGGATTCTGGTGAAAGTTTTCAGTAACATAAGTTATGTTGTTGATACTTTTTTTTCAGCAACGTGACCTATGTTGCTGAAAGGGGTGAGAAATTTCACCCCCACCGATCACCGGATTCCGGTGAAAGTTTTCAACAACATAAGTTATGTTGTTGATGCTTTTTTTTCGGCAACATAGCTTATGTTGCTGATATATTAGCAACATGATTTTGGTTGGTAATGTATTACCCACTAAACCTTCTCCAACCAAACTTTTAGCAACCAAACCCATGTTGTTGAAGGACTTTCAGCAACATGGAAGGCACTTTCAACAACATGCTTTCATGTTGCTGAAAGTGAGGATTTTAGTAGTGTGCATTTTAACACAGCTAAGACTCAAACCTACATAGAGACTGACGTTTTGCATAAGAGGGGAAGGAAACAAACCAGTAGAACCATTGCATGCAAAGTGTCAAGTAATTGTATAATATTATATGTATTTATATTCAATTGATCTTATGGTTTGAACGATTGAAGTGATTAAACCGATTAAATTGAGAACCAAAAACCAAAAATCAAAACAATTTGACTTTTAGATCAGTTTTCAAAACATTGGATTCATTAAATATTTCTTTATTATTTTGTGAAGACTCAAATTTAAATATTATACAAAAATCAAGTCACTCCTTGCGCTTGTTGATTAATATCTTTAGTTAATATAAATTTTGCAATAATATTTGATAAGTAATTTAATTTAAGATCTTGTAATTTAAAAATCATAAAATGATATTAAATTACATATCAAATAATTTTAATTGTTCTAATATTAAATAATTATATAATTTTTTTAGTTGAATATAATTACATCTCAAATTGTGCGAGGAGTTAGGCTTTGGAAGGACGCAAAAGACCTAAGTCTAAAAGGGCCAGTGGTCCACCTTATTTATAAATTAATAGATTTTTCTTATTTTAAGTTAAGCTTGATTAAGGAAACGAGGTAGATAACAATAATAAATTTTTTTAATTAATTAAATTATACTATGATAAATATTATAATTTGATTAGTAAAAATACTCTTTTTTCACCTTTTTTTTATCCTCTCTTTTATTTGTTTCAAATTAAATACACTTTTAGATTTGAGAAAATCGGAAAAAAAGATGAGCTAGGCACTCCTCTCTATCTTTCTTTTTATTTTTATTTTTTAAACTAAAATCAAACAAAGATTTAATTTATCAGTACTGTGCTATAACTATAATTGTAGGTTTTTCGTTTTTTATTATCTTAAAATATATAAATATTAATTAAAATGAATAAAAATATATACTAAAACTCAATTAAGAATTATAATTAAATTTACAGTTTTTAATGAATTATCAATTGAAAACAAAATGTAACCAACTTGGGATTTACTCTAACCACAAATTAAATCATTTTTCCCGATAATTTTAGGGACCAAAAGAAGAGTGAAAGAATGAAACATCGAAAACTTAAACTATTTAAATGTTAATTTAACAAAAGGATTTTCTAATTCTAATCTATACAGTTAAAGCACAAATTAAATCTCATTAATGGTAGTATCTATAATTAATTTTGTATAAATTTTTATATAAGATTTAAATAAAATATAATAAAAAATGTAAAAATATAATATAATAT